AGATCTGGCTCAGCCTCTCTCACATAGCGCCATATCGCCCTAAGGAGTTCATATAATCCACCCATTCTTCGCTGGGGTCCTGGGGAGGAGGTGTGTCTTTCAGAAATATTTTCTTCTTCATCATCCCTTTTTCTTGCTTTGTGGGAATCTGTGTTGGCACCAAATGCCTCCATTTGTTTGCATTTGTCTATGATCTGCAGGAAATCTACGAGGTACATACCCTCCATTTTTTCATCTGTAAAGTCTCCTTGGTCATTTTTTCATATAATTTGGCTTTTTCTTCCAATTTTTCCCTTGCGTTGTCTACTGTCTTCTGTTCCTCTCCTGTTCGGCATCCTTCTCAGCTTGATTTGAAACTCTCATGTTCTGTTCACTCCAGATACTTGGTTTCTTATAGTTGCCTTTGGATTCCCCCAAACCCCAGAATCTTTCAGAAGCTTCTCTTGTTTGAATTCTACTTGTTTTTGGAAAAGCTCAACTTTAAGATCTACCAACGAAGAGCCCACGACATCCAAATACTTTTTCTTTTTCCTCGGTCTGTTGTGCCAGGGTGTGCCGAAGAACAGCCTTCAGGATCCCTGCAGTCCTCACTTGCTTCCTTCTGGTGCCTTCCCGCTCTTTTTATGTGTACTGAGCGCTCTCCAGACATGTTACCTGCTATTATTTTGCTTTTTATTGTATTCCTGGATGAGTTTCACTGTTAACTCCCATCTTTCACTTTCTTGGGTATTTCTTTATGTTTGCTGGATTAAGTCTTTAAGTCTTTTTCTAAATGGATACATGTGAAGTAATATTGCATGTATGACACTGTATTTTGCCCTCATGTATGATTTACATGTTTGTTTGTTTTTTTTAAGAGGTTTTTGCTATAGGGCACATGAGCTCACTGAAAAGACAGAGAGAGACAGAAAGTGAGAAATCACCCCCCAGGGGGGAATGGCCACACCACAGTCCCTTCTCCATTCTTCTCTCTGGATTTTGGACACTCTTGCACTGTGCCCAGTGTGACTGTAAGCCGCTGGGTCAGACTCGCCGCATCTGGGCCTCAAACCCTGGGTTTTGTAGTCCAAACCTATCAACATTCTTTTCAGAACCTTGGCAGCTTTTTTTCTGTGTCTTCTAGTGTACAGTGTTGCACAAGACAAGTCTTAATTCCAGTCAACTATTAGTTTTTTAAAATTGGTAACATTGTTTTTCTTTCTGGAAGCTTTTAAGAGTCTTCCCTTCCCTTTTCTTCTCTTCCCCTCCCCTCCCTTCCCTCTCCTCCTCTCTTCTCTTTTCCCCTTGCTTGGTATAGGGGATAGATGCTCACCAGAGAGAGAGAGAGAGAAGAGAAGAAAGTGCTCCCTGCCCCATGAGGAATAATTACACCACAATCTTTTCTCCTGCATCTTTTTTCTTTTTAGGATTTTGGGCACGCAATTTTTTAAAACTTAATTTTTTATTATCATAATCTCTTTTATATTACATTGAATCATGTACATCTTTACAGTGTATTATATATTTTTTCCCCAGCATGGTTACCATGCATATCAATCAAGACATAGACATTACTATCCTTATCATCATTTTTTTTTTTTTGACAATTTTTTTTTGAAAGGTTTCTGCTATAGGGTGAGTGTGCTCACCAGAAAGACAGAGAGAGACTGAGAGACAGAAAGCGAGAAATCACCCCCCAGGGGGGATGGGCCGTGCCACAATCCCTTCTCCTCCATTCTCCTCTCGGGATCTTGGGCACGCACACACACGCGCCCAGTGTGAGTTTTAAGCCACTGGGTCCGGGATGCGAACCGCAGTGGACTACATGGGAGTCCAGCGACATAGCCATTATGCTAACTGCTGGTCCCAAGAGAATGTAATTTGTCTTCAGTTCACATGCTCTTGACTAGCAGGCTTTTGCTTGTGTTTCAGATTGAGATTTTTGGACTTGGTCTTTTTAGTTAGTATTAGAATGAGTCGAGACTTTGAGACCATTGGGATGATTTTGTTTGTATAAAAAACATGAACCTTGGGGGCCAAAGTAGAGTATTATGGTTTGAATCATGGTTTGTCCCCCAGAGTTTCATGTTTTGGAATTCAGTCTTGGTGGGTGGTGATTGGATGGCTCCCAGAAATTCATGGGTTGAGACTTGATGATATTGATTGTATCCTGAAAAATATTAAGCAAAAACATAGTTCCTTTTGGTGCCCAGAGTGAGGCCTTTGGGTGTGATAATGTCATTAGGATGGGATTTCTGCGACTGAGTTATACCAGGTAATAAGCAAAAGAAAGAGACTAGAATGGCCGAGAGAAAGCTGTGTGGGTGCAGACCACATACTGCCCTGCTGGAAGTTCTGCCTTTTACCATTTGTGATACTTTTAGACTTTCCGAACACCATGTAGGATCCAGCAGCCTTAACTACCACCCCACTGGCTGGCCCCATGAAAGACATTTATTATTTCTTATAGAGTGTTTTTGATCTCTAGCATTAAAAACAACAACAACGACAAAAATTCTAAGAATTTGTTTCAGGCCAGCCAGTGGTTAAGGCAGCTGGATCCCACATGACTCATCTGTGTGGTTTGAGTCTCAGACCTGGTCGTTTGAAAATGCCAGATGTGTGGGTGTGCATGCCCAAAAATCCCTAGAGGAGAATGGAAGAGAAGGTGTGACTATCCTTCATGGGGGAGTGCTTTCTTATTTTCCCTCTCTTGTTCTCTCTCTGGTGAGTACACATGCCTTCTAGAAAAAAAAAAAAAAAAAGACTTTCCATTTCACTGCTTACAGTATCTACTGTCCTGGCGTGTTCTATTTTTTTCCCATAGAACTCTTAACATATTAATCATAGTTATTTGAAATTCTCAGTCTGATAAGTCTAACATCCGTGCCATATTTAAATCTGGTTCTGTTGGTTACTCTGTGTCTTCAAACTGTATTTTTTTTTCCTTTTAGTAAGCCTTATAATTTTTTGTTGAAAACTGGGTGTGAGAACCAGCAGTTAGCGTAATGGCTATGTCGCTGGACTCCCACGTAGTCGACCGCGGTTCGCATCCCAGACCCGGTGGCTTAAAACTCACGCCGGGCGTGTGTGCGTGCGTGGCCAAGATCCCGAGAGGAGAATGGAGGAGAAGGGATTGCGGTGTGGCCATCCTCCCTGGGGGGTGATTTTTTGCTTTCTATCTCTCTGTCTCTCTGTCTATCTGGTGAACGCACACTCCCTGTAGAAAAAACATCTACAAAAAAAAAAAGAAGAAAGAAAAAGAAAACTGGGTGTAATGTACTGGGTGAGAGGAACTCTGGTAAATAGACTCTTAGGTGCATGGCATTAAGGTGTGAGGAGAGAGTAAACACCCTATACTCCTGTTGTTAGGTTTCAGTTTTTTTAATTTTTATTTATTTATTTATTTTGGCCATAGGGCACATGTACTAGCTGGAAGAACAAAGAGGAAGTGAGAAATCCTCCCCCAGAGGGGATGGCCATGCCACAACTCCCTCTCCTTCACTCTCCTCCTGGGATTTTGGGTACACATGCACACATGCATGCCCAGCATGAGTTTCAAGCTGCCAGGTATGAGACTTGAACTATGGTCGGCCATGTGGGTGTCCAGTGCCTTAACCACCATACTGCCTGCTGGCCCCAGGTCTCAGTGAGCCTGTGCTCCTTGGTGTTGAACTTTACGAGTTCTCCCCCCCCCCACGCCCCCCCAAGGTCAGACTGGATAGCTAGAATGGGGTAGAGTTGGGTATTCCCTTTTTCTGGGTTGGTTAGGTTATGGTAAAACTCCAGGTTAGGTTCTGGTAAAATAGTTTCTCTTGAATGCTTTGAATACCGCCCCCACCCCCATTCACATGTTGAGATCCCCCTCCCCGCCAATTCCCATGTTGAGATTGGCTGTGTTAGAATTAAGAGAGTAAAACTTAGTCTGAGTGTGGTGTTGAAAGGTGAGGCCTTTGGAAGGAGATTAGATGAAATTTGTTGGGGTAGTCCTTTGCCTCTATCCAGAGCTAAAACTTGGTGGGTTTGTAGAGAAGGAGTGGACAGAGAGACTCATGGACTCAGGTGTTAGAATGTAGCCAGAAGACCCTTACAGATGTGGCCCTGGACCTGGAACCTCTAAACCATGAGCTGAATAAACCTCTACTTTTAGAATTTACCCAGTTTTAGGCATTTTATGTTATTAACAACAGAGTGAACTAGAACAATAGGCTTTGTTAAGAAGAGCACAGTTTTGACGTATTTCTTTCTTTCTTTTCTTTTTTTTTTTTTGGAGAGGTTTTTGCTATAGGGCACATCACTCGTCAGAAAGACAGAGACAAAAAGCGAGAAATCACCTCCCGGGGGATGGCCACGCCGCAATCCCTTCTCCTCCATTCTCCTCTTCAGATCTTGGGCATGCACGCACATGCGCCTGGCGTGAGTTTAAGCCACTGAGTCTGGGACTAGAACTGCGGTCAACTACATGGGAGTCCGGCAACATAGCCATTACACCAGCTGCCTGTCCCAAGTTTTGGCCTATTTTGAAATGGTTCCCTTTTCTCTTTTCCCCTGCTGGAGGCCTAAGGGGATTTTTCTCCTGATTCGCTGTGAGAACCTGGTAGAGCTCCTGGACATGAAAGTCACAATGGAGAGAGACAGAGAAGGAAGAGGGAGAGTAAAAGTGAGAAAGCACCCCCCAGGGATGATCATCACTCCTTAGTCCTTTCTCCTCCATTCTACGCACACATACTCGGCATGTTTTTCAAGCTGCCAGGTCCGAGCCTCATCTGTCCAGTCAGCAGTGTGGGTCCTGCCCCCTTAACCACCATGCCACCTGGCTGGCCTGAAGGGGGAGCCCTTTACTAATTTATTTCTCATCTTGATTTTATTGTGTTACAATAAGATAGCTCTGTAAAACTCACAGTGTTTGAAAGTATGTCATCCCAAGTTTATTTACTTTTTTAAATGTAAGTTTGAACTGAAGCAGATTTGTTTGTCTGAATACTCAGTGATTGACTGAGTATTTCTGTCTTTCTCCTCAGTATTTAGACCATGAGACCATTTCAGCCACATTCATCGACAGCAGTGGGCAGTTTGCTTCCTCCCAGCTGACAGTAGTTAGCCGGAATCCCTACTGTGGCTATGAGCACCAGACTCTGTCCAGCCGGGAGCGTGTGGAGGAGGACTCGTTGCTGGCTGCCTTGCAGTGGCAGGTGCCTGACATGGGCCTGGTCCCATTTGTGAAGAGCACTGACCCTTCTTCCAGCTACTTTGTCATCTTGAACTCTGCAGCCTACTTTGAGGTGGGAAGCCAGTTGGAGGTGCTGGTTCATGTTCATGATTTTCAAAGAAAGCCCAAGAAGTATGGTGGAGACTACCTGCAGGCCAGAATCCACTCTCCTAGGCTACAGGCAGGCGCTGTGGGCAGAGTAGTAGACTACCAGAATGGGTTTTACAAGGTGTTTTTTACTTTGCTCTGGCCAGGCAGAGTTAAAGTGTCTGTATCTCTGGTCCACCCCAGTGAAGGAATCAGAGTTCTTCAGCACTTACAGGAAGAGAAACCAGACAGGGTCTATTTCAAGAGTCTCTTCCGTTCAGGAAGAATTTCTGAAACCACTGAGTGCAACGTTTGTCTTCCTGGGAGTCTGCCCTTATGTAACTTTACAGATCTCTACACTGGAGAGCCTTGGTTCTGCTTCAAACCAAAGAAGCTCCCTTGCAGCAGCAGAATTAATCATTTCAAAGGTGGCTACCTGAAGGGCCTCCTAACAGCAGCAGAGAGTGCTTTCTTCCAGAGGTATGTGCTCCTTCTCTTAGGGGGTAATTTAAAGAGTGTTTTTTTCCCGTGGTCCTTGTCCCATTTAAGAGACTTTCTTATTTTGAGTATGTGTTCCTTATAACTCTCTTTGAGTCAATTTGGAAGAGGTGATATATAAAAATAAACTCAGACTTGTATTTTTTATTAGTGTTTGTATATATGTATGTATATATATGTATATATATTTAGAAAGAGGGTCTTGTCATTTTGTCCTGGCTGACCTTGAACTTTTGATCCTGCCCCAGCCTCCCAAGTAAGACTACAGGCATGTGCCACTGTACCAGGGTATTAGTGAATATTTTCAAAAATGCAACTTTGTGCTTGTCCAAGTTAAAATGAAAGACATTTTACTTTTGAATTTTTGTTCTTTACCCTCAGACCTGTGTTTTACTTTAGAACTACAAGGCATATTTATAGCTAAATAGGTAAGGTCACTTATTCACAGAACAGATTTCTAAAAATCATCTAAGAATAGGGTTGCTAGTGGTCTAGCAGTAGGGCTGCTATTTAAAATTTGTGTTTAATAAACTAAAACATTTTGGGTTGGTCCCATGGCTTAGTGGTTAAGGAACTAGATCCTACATGGCCAACCTTGCAGTTTAAATCCTGGCCCTGGAGGCTTCTAAAATACCTTGGGGATGTGTGTGTACATGCCTCAAATTCTGACAAGGTGGAGAAATGGAGAAGGGAGTTTGGCTTGACCGTGCTCTACTGTGGGGTACTTTCTGCCTCTCCCTCTCTGTTTCTCTGTCTCTCTCTGGAGAGTGCACATGCCCTCTGGCAAATTAAAAACGAAGCCAAACAAAAAACAAAAATAATTTTTAAGTGACATATGCTAGTTTTTTCTTTTAAAGCTAGTGTCTTGCTATGTTGCGCTCCTCCTTCCACAGCCCCCTGAGTAGCTGGAACTAATGCCTGTATCTCCACAGCAGGCTTTTTAGTGTGGGTCAGGAATCTAATTTGGACCTCCCATGTGGCCCTAGCCTGCTGAGTAATAGTGTCTGTGAATAGGTGCTACACTACTGGACTGACATGTATTCGTTTTTAAAATCTTTTAGTATTTATTGATCAAAAAATGACTGAGTATGTCACCATTGCTAGGGTGACTTAATAAGCATAGGAAGTCAGGAATACCATAGGAAACTATGTTAAAATTATTATAGTATTGTGCTCAAATTCTTATTTTGAATATAAGCATAAAACTTTTTTAGCATACTAATATATGGGATAATGTATAGAACAGAATGTATGGGATCAGTATGAATTAATTTTTTTTTTTTTTTTTTTTGCTATAGGACGCGCGCGCTCGCCAGACAGACAGAGAGAAACAGAGAGACAGAAAGGATGTGAACCAGAAGTTAGTGTAATGGCTATGTCGCTGGACTCCCACGTAGTCAACCGCGGTTCGCGTCCTGGACCCGGTGGCTTAGAACTCACGCTGGGCACATGTGCGTGTGTGCCCAAGATCCTGAGAGGAGAATGGAGGAGAAGGGATTGCAGCGTGGCCATCCCCCCTGGGGGGTGATTTCTCGCTTTCTGTCTCTCTGTCTCTGTCTGTCTGGTGAGCGCATGCGCCCTATAGCAAAAACCTCTCCAAAAAAAAGAAAGCAAGAAATTCTAGCACTGAAAACAAAAATTCCTATGAATCCAGAAGGATAAAATAATGTCTTATTACTTGCATATTCTGGGTGAGGTTGGTGGATAGCACATTGTAGAAGAACATAGCAACAGTCTAGGAGATCAGGAGATGGCCTAATGGTTATGTCACTGGACTCCCACATAGTTGACTGTAGTCTGAGTCCCCGACTCGGCAGCTTATGCTCACACTGGGCATGTGTGCGTGCATACCTAAAATTCTGCGAGGAGAATGGAGGAGAAGGGATTGTAACATGGCCTTTCCCCCTGGGGAGTGATTTCTTGCTTTCCGTCTCTCTTTGTCTCTCCAGTGAGCACATGTACCTTATAGCAAAAATCTCTCTTAAAAAAAAAAATCTATATACCTGGGTGTTTGCTGGGAAGACAGTGTCTGAGGTGTTAAAGTTTTTGGAACCGAAACATTTGATAGAGTCCTGATCATTGATTTTCATTTTCCCATCTTGTCCTCTGCTAAGGTTCTGAAATATTTTATCAGGCTATAAAAAAAGAGAGCAAGACAGAAATTGATAAATTGTTTTGTTAGTTTTTTGCTATAGGGTGTGTGTGTGTTTCCTGGAGAGGCAGTAAGGAGGAAAGTGAGAACTCACCCTCCATTGGGATGGCCATACCTCAGTCCCTCTCTTCCATTCTCCTCCTGGGAATTTGGGCACACATGCACAGACACCCAGTGAGTCTGCTGTGTTTTTCAAACTGCCAGGTTTGGGACTCGAACTACGCTATTGACCATTTGGGTCTACCTACCTTAACCAGTACGCCATTTACCTGACCAGAAAATGTACTTTGGATTTGCCTTATTTTTTTACATATACCTAGATTGAGGTCAAGTATTTTTGCAGGAAAATTGTAGAGAAAATTTTCCCGCAAGTATTTTTATATAAAATTGTATTTTTCAGCAAAACTATTATGGAAAAATAAATTATATATTTTTTCTTACAATAAAACTCTAAGCCCATAAAAGAAGTTTATATATACTCTCTTAAAAGTCATGTTCTCTCATAAATATTATTAAACTATAAATTTTTTTTTTTTTTTTTTTTTTTTTTTTGAGAGGTTTTTCGCTATAGGGCGCGTGTGCTCGCCAGACAGACAGAGAGAGACATAGAGACAGAAAGCGAGAAATCACCCCCCAGGGGGGATGGTTACGCTGCAATCTCTTCTCCTCCGTTCTCCTCTCGGGATCTTGGGCACACACGCACATGCGCCCGGCGTGAGTTTTAAGCCACTGGGTCCGGGACACGAACCGTGGTTGACTACATGGGAGTCCAGCGACATAGCCATTACGCTAACTGCTGGTTCCCTAAAATTCTATTCTTTAATGTAGCTAGCCTGATATATTTCCTTCATTAGATGTTTTTTGTCTGTCTCCTCTGTTAAAATGTTAGTTCCACAAAGGAGGAGAGGCTTTTTTTTTTTTTTAACTGTTATAGCTCTAGGATATCGGACAGTGTCTAGAACAGGGTAGCAGCTTCACAAGTATTTAGATGATTGAATATTTTCTGAAATCAGTGAAATAAGAAAAAATCTTGACTGCATATCAAGAGTTTGAAAAGTTAACATTCTATTTCTTGGTTTGTTTTTGGTCTAAGTGAAAAAGGCCTGGGACCAGCAGGTGGCATTATAGTTAAGGTTCTAGACTTCTACATGGCTGTCTGTGGTTCTAATCTTGGACCAGGTGGCTTGCTTTCTCTCTTTCTCTCTTCCTCTCTCTGGTTAGCACATGTGCCCTATGGCAAATTAAAATAAGTAAATATTTTTCATAAAGAAAAAGGCCTATTTATTGTGACCCAGTCTCTGCAGTAATTACGCTAGGTTTTCCATAGGGCAGGTGCCACCACACCCAATTACACTGGGTTTTCAGTATTCTTCTCCTGGACTTTATCCTCCCCCAGTTTTTCAAAAGTGTTTACTAAGCGTTGTTTAGGGCCTGTGATAAATGTGAACACCATGAAGGTGAAAGAGGCATCAGCCATCTTTTCGAGCAGTGTATATTTTAGTAGGGAGAAAGACACTACAGAGTGATAGTGATGATGGAGTATGTACCTGGGGTAAGTGTCTTGAGCAGGACTCATCTCAGATTTAGGCAAGGTTTAAGAATTGGATACAGGACTTAATGCTGCTTAAACTTGCAGCCTGAAAACTAGGTAATGACAAAAGAGACACCCTTCTCAGTGCCAGCCATCTCTGAGTCCAAGGTGAGTAAGTAATTCAAACCAGTGCCGGTTACTTGGGAGTTCGCACTCGGAGAACTGGCTAAGCAGTATGCAGCACAGTGAAAAATGACTAGGAATATGGCTAAGTCCTCTTCAGTTTATCCAAGTAACCTACCTTTTACAAGACCGCTAATGCATTAGGTATTAATTGTATTGGTTAACCCTTACAAATATATTTTGTTATAATAAATGTCTGTGAAATTATGTCCATTTTTTTCACTTGCAAATAAAGAAATGTAACCGAAAATAATGTCCCTAAATTTAAGCTTGTGCTTTTTTATTCTTCTTAAAGTGGTGTCAATATCAAAATGCCAATCAACTCCAGTGGACCTGATTGGGTGACTGTGATTCCCAGGAGAATAAAAGGTAAAAATAAAAGGAATGAGCTCAATGATTTGTTGTTTTCTTGCTAAGTGGGTTGAGGCTCTTGCCATTCACTGATGCTGCAAAAACTTTTTTTCCCTTGAGGCCAGCATGTGGCATGGTGGTTAGGGGGCTGGACTCTCACATGGTTGACAGTGGTTCAAATCCTGGACCTGGCAGCTTGAAACTCATGCCAGGCATGTATGTATGCATGCCCAAAATACTAAGAGGAGAATGAAGGAGAAGGTATTGTGGCGTGGCCATCCCCCTGGCGAGGTGGTTTCTCATTTTCTCTCTCTGTCTTTCTATGTCTCTGGTAAGTGCACACACCTTATAGCAAAAATCTCTTAAAAAAAAAACAAAAACTTTTCTTCTCTTTAATATGCCATGGTTACTTCTGGGTACACAGTATTTTAAGAGTTTTCAATTGAATGTCAATTGTTTTAAAAATCTGGAGATACATCTGTAAATGAAGACTTCTGGTTTTTCATGACAAAAGAAAATCACAATTTGATTGATGTTAAAATAAGTGTTTGATTGAAAAAAATTAGTTAGACTTGTTTTTATGTAATTCTGAATTTTGCTATTTATGCTCATGTAAAAGTTGTCTTTTTCCTGTATCCTCCACTTCTGTTTGTTTTTTTCAAGAGCCTTTAAAGCAGTGTTGTCCAATGGGGTACCCACTAGCCACATGTGGCTATTTAAATTTAATTAAAATTAAATAAAAATAAGCACTCAGCTCTTCAGGTACATGTATTTGATAGCAGTGTCTGGCTGTTGGCTATCATGTTGGATACCATTTTATATAGACCCTATCCATCATTGTAAAACATTCTGCTGGGCATCACTGCTCTAGCAGTATTCAAGAACAAATATGGAAATTTAAAAATCAAAACATCGGGTTGATGAATGGTGTCTGTCCTCAAAGTACGGTCTCTGGGTCAACAGTATCAGCATTACCAGAGGACTTGCTAGAACTGAAAATTCTCAGGTTCTACCTCAGACTGCTGAACTAAGCTCAGGCTGGTGGGACCCAGCCCTCTGTGTTTCAGCAGACTTTTCAGGTAATTCTTATTATTAGTGTAGGACGTTATTAATGATAAAAGAACAAAATTCAGGGGAACAAAATGAATGTATTATGTTTTCACAGGATGGACATATATATTTGTAAAATTTAGCTATGATTTTTTTCCCCTTTCTGCTAGGAGGTGCCATAGTTATTTATTGGAAGAAGAAAACAATGAAACAGCAAACACATTTCTTAATAAGTTCAGTTTGTTAAAATCTTGTTAAATCATCTAGGTCAAGGGAAAGTAAAAATAATCAAAGAGGGTCCCTGGAGGAAAAACTTGTGTCTGATAACTGGGAGACCACTTGAGAGGGGACAGGGAGGAATTCATGTTCTGAAGAGAAGGAACCCTGACCCCATTGCTTCTCTTCCCTCTCACCCACTGAACCCCACCAGAAACTACCAGGACACCTGGAGTAAAAGCTTCAAGTTCAGTAGTCACTCTCTCTCAAATATAAAAAGCAGTTATAATTCAACTGAACACAGGAACTTGTTTGCAAAGTTACGGGGAACCTAGACAGTGTATAAAAAGTTAGGTTAAGGATGATTTTGTGCTTTTGTTGTGGGTGATTTGTGCTATGATGGTTTTTGGAAAGAAAGGATGAACATTATTAAGGAGGCTTATGCAGAGGGCAGGCAAGGTCCATGTAGCTGTTGAAAGCATATTAATAGTATCCTACATAGCACATGTTGCCAACACTTTTGCCACAGGAGCAATATATATAATACATAAATCATAAGGTGGTTATTAGCCTTGTGTGAGCAGTGGGGAAGGAATTGAAGAGTAAGGACCATCTCAATAAGGGCAGCTTTTCCTTAGTTCCTACTGCTTTGTTACCTAGAAGGAAAAACCCATTGCATCCAGATCTGTGGATGTTTGTTATAAGTGCCAGTGGGTACATGGCACTTGGCAGAGAGAGATGGAGGGATGTATGTGTGTGTGTGAGCACCCTCCAATGGGAAGTGATGAAATCTCAATCCTTTTTCCTTTCTCTCTCAAAATCCTGTAGAGATTTTGGGAATGCACACATGCACTTGCTCCCGTTATATTTTCAAGCTACTAGGACTGGGATTTGAACTGTGGTCAGCCATGTGGAATCCAGTTTCCTTAATCACTAGGCTATGGGGCTGGCTCTCTGAATTTTTTTTTTTCATGAAAAATCAGAAATCTTAATTTTCAGATAAACTTCCAGATTTTAAAATATTAACATTCAATCTAAACTTTAAAAATATTGTGTGGACTAGATAAAATTTGTGGCCCACATGCAGCTGCTATTCTATACCTCTGGTCTTTACTATTGCATGAATCCAGTCTTGGCTAATGAGGATTCCAGTCTTTCCTAATGAGGAGCTAGATTTGATTTACTTGAACTTAATAAATTTAGAGGCTACATACAAGAAGCATCATTACTGAAAATACTTAGCTTTTATCATCTGGTCTCAATCCCACAGCCAGGGTGTCAGTAGACATGGTGTCATCAGTTTTACTGCTTTCTAAACTTGTTCCTATCTGACATCCTCAGGAGACCCCATCTCACTACCATATCCATCCATCCATCCATCCATCCATCCATCCATCTCTTTCTTTTTATAATTTACTCTATGGCACTTGCCATAGAGAGGGAGGAGGAGAGGAAGAGAGGGGAAGGGAAAGTGAAAAGGCACCCTCTGGGGGAATGGCCAAGCTATAATCCCTTCTCCATTTTCCTCTCAGGATTTTGGGCACACATGCACATACACTTGTGTTTTTCAAGCTATTGGGTCCAGGACTTGAACCACATAGTTGGTCATATGGGATCCAACCTCCTTAACCACCACTGGCTGGTCCCATATCCACATTTATTACAACCCCAACTATCTGGCATGGCCACTTTGTAATGTCCCTGGATGTCTCTTGGAATGGTTGGTGGGGAGGACTTTTGAGTGATTTGCCTGTACTGGAAGGGTCTTGGAGATCAGCTGGGAAATGGCTGTGGGTTTGTGATGTACTATTTTGGTTAGAGAAAAGACAGATTCAGTAACTGGTGAGGTTTTTGATGGATTTTTAGAGGAAGAAAATAGCTGTGTATCAGTAAGAGCAGAATAACCTGGCTTTGAATGAGGAAATAATCTTGTAGCAGGTAAATAATTGCAAAGAAACAAGAAAGGAAATTGCTTTGTAAAATATTGTAGAGCCCAGCTTAGCAGAACTTCACTGTAGTGAACAGCTGGGGGCAGTCAAAGGTCCTAAATCAAGGCTCATACTTCTCCTTTCCTTCCTTTTCTTCTTCTATGCTAACATTCTCTTTTCACTTATTTGCTTAAACTTTCACCCACTAATTTCAGCATTCATCAGATCTTAACCTATAGTAATAATTTCTGTGGCATCCAAGGGCAACTTTATTCTCTCAATATTTATTAGTTGGAAATTTTCTATGAAAAGAGTTCCTTCTTATGCATTTGTTTGCTTATAGTAGTGTAGACTCATGATTATTTCATTCTGCGAGGTATAATTTAATTCAATAAACCTCCCTCCCCCCAAAATAATTACTCTGATTTTGGCATTTTGGCTTCTGGGTCCTTTTGACATACTTACATCTCTGTCTCTTTCTCTCTCTTGTTTTTTCCCCTCTGTGTACTTCCTTACTTTCAGGCACTACAAAATAGTTCAGACTTGGGGCTAGCATGTGGCCTGGAGGTTAAGGTGGCTGGATCCCACATGGCCGACTGAGTGGTGTGAGTCCTAGACCTGACAGCTTAAAAAAAAGCACCAGGCATGTATATGTGCAAGCCCAAAATCCCAAGAGGAGAAATGAAAGAAGAGAACGCATGTGGCATGACCATGCCCCCTGTCTCCTCAAGGTGATCACTTTCTCTCCCTTCCCCATCCTCCCCCTAGCAAGTGCACACACCCTTTAGCAAAATTTAAAAAGACAAACAAAAACTTCATGCTCATCTTGTATTGTTTTTTGGCTAGCCCTAGAAAGATATATATTCTTTTTCCTTTTATTATTTGACTTTATTTTTTCTTATGAAATTTTATTATTTATGTATTAGCTAATTAATTTTCTTATAAGATAAAATTATTCTGTGATAGTTAATTTGATGGTTTGCTTGAGCTTGCCAGTGCTACTGCCGTGCATGGTTATAATTCTAGTCAAATACAAAGTAATAGCAGGCTAGATGGTGGCATAGGGCTGGGGGTAGGTCATGGTGTTGAGAACTTACTGCAGGTGCTCTCTCTTTTTTTTTCTGTTTCTTTCACTTGTAGAAGACAAAAATATCTTTTTACAAAAGGGCAATGAAACAGTTTTTAATTAGGATAGACTGTCTTATCAAGGACAAATGTCTTGTTTCTGACAGGCTTTTCCAATAACATAATTACTACTAAATTTTTATTAGCACTTGTATCGTGGTCCCAAATCATCATAGCTAACTGGATTGGGGATCTTGATGGATTCTAACCTCATCAACAACTTGAACTCACAGTTTTGCAGGGAGCTTACTGAGAGTTTGGGGTAAGAGCAGAACTAATAGTGGCCCGACCTTGGTGGCATATGCAGTAGTCTATTAAACTGCTGTGTTGGAAGCCACATGGCTATCTGTGGTCAGCCTGAACACACTTGAAGTGCATACACACGCAGGATCCTGAGCTGAAGGGTTCGGGAATGATTGCAGCATGACAGGACGGTCAAGAGTACCTGTTTCTCTTGTGCATACATATACTTCTCTTTCATAAATAAAAATAAACTTAAAAGACTACATTTAGCAGTAAATAAACATATGAACATAGCCCTCACTATTTTTCTTTGAGGAATATTTCATATACAGTAGAGCACACATTATAGTATATAGTACAGTGAAGTTTTACATTTGTAAATGTCTTTGTTGACTGTGGTGGATGGAATACTAAGAAGACTCCCAGTGATCCATGCTTTTGAGTGTGGAAGGGCAA